TACAGATATTCCGCTTGGACATTTTTCAAGAACCAGGAGCAACCAAATTTTTGGTAATTGTATTGTATAAACTTTCTGCTCGAAATGTGAACTTTTGGCTCTATGTACATTTGTTTGGGGCCTGGCAAGGAATACTTTATTGGACGCTCTGGTTCGCGAATGTGAAGTTTTGCAAAATTTGAATGAGCAAACCCAGTACACTGTGCGGAAGCTTATAAACCATGCATACACCAGATATGTACATAATATTTATCAATCATTAAGGAAAGTTTCTTCGGAGAAAAAATTTCGCGTGTAAAAAGTTGCTTTGCACTTTTTCTATGGCATCAACATCCTTTTTCCTGATGGGCTGAAACAGAGTAGCGCCAGCCTCTGTGTTTCATTCCATCAGGAAACAGGAAACAGGATGCTGACGCTATTGAAAAAGGGCAAAACTACTGAATGAACTCATCGAGAATTGCTTCAGGTTATGCAATAAATCCTGCTCGTGATTTCGGTCCAAGGCTCTTCACTCTCTGCGCTGGTTACGGTTGGAGGGTATTCAGGTAATCATTAGTTATCTAACTTATTAATGACGTGCAAAGAAGGTTGCAGAGCGTTTTGAGTTTTCTACAAATTGTCACACTGTGAAATGTAGTCTCTGGCATTCTTGACAACCGTTTTTCCTTCCATTTCCCTGATTTATAATACAAATCCATTTTACAGCTATCGTAGCTACAAGTGGTTCTGGATTCCGATCATTTGCCCAATGCTTGGAGCCCTGCTTGGAGCATGGATGTACGAGTTCTTCATTGGATTCCACATCCCCGATGATCCGGACACCACCTACATTCACAAGGTGACTCTTTCCCTATCCAATCACCTCTGCCACAAACCAATGGCACAGTTTCGCATTGCAAATCAGCCGAGTAGAGTACTACTGTTTGCGATATAAAATCAAAACTCGAAGTTGATTATTGAAGTCCACGGAGAGCTTGGAGCTGCTTTGGTGGAAGGGAGAGCCGGTAAAGATTCTGTGTGCGATGGGGTGCAGTACATATTTGACGCGTTGTTTTCAGTTCAGGGCAGTGTCATGCATTCCTAATAGAGATACAACTCGTGTCCCCTTTTTTCGCTACATTCTAGT